TGTTTGTCACGATGTGAGTTTGGTTTGGTAAACGTGCAGAGGCTGGTAAATATCACTGCAAAACCAGAAAAGAATGCAACTCCAGTTTGGAACTTTAAAAAACAGGTTTAAAAATCTTCCTTCACTTTTTTCAGTTTTGTGTAAAGTGCCAGAGGAAGTTCTCTTAAAGAAGGGGTTCTCAAACTGTGGGTGAGGGTCCAAAAAAGGGGCACATAGTGTTTCAGTGCAGTTTGCTTGGCTTTGTATTAGGTAGATCATTTTGACTTGGTCATTTTGTAAGTAGCTCGCATGCTGAAAAAGTGTGAACACCCCGCAGTAGAGTAATAGTAACAGGAAGTAAGAGTATAGTAATAGTATTAGCGGTAGTACTGGTAGTAATACGGCATGGCTGTAGCTGCTTAGTGTAGTGAATAGCAAAGTTAAGGGTGAGTAACAGCAGCCATTTTCACAGTAGTTGTGTTTCTAGAGATAATATTAGAAGTGAGTTAAAATAGAAAACAAACAAGAGCACAAATGGTAAGAGACTCTTTGTAAAGCACTTCTTTGTAAAAACTAAACCACCACGAAACAGTTCATTTTTAGTGTCTAATTAGTGGATTTTGTGATTCACTTTTCAGGGGATATAAATAGACAAAGGCCGCGGTCCCACTGCTGTCTGCTCTGTTCTCATGTAATCCTCTCTACTGCACAGAGACGACATTACCTCCAAATCCTCCCAAACACACACAGGGACATGAGCCTGTGAAATACTCCATTTGTCCAGACGAGCCTGAGTAAAGCCTGTTACTGCAGGGGACTCCGCAGTACATGTCCTCTCAGTTAGATTAGAGCTCATTTAGGCCCAATTCAATTATCGCGAGTCAACATACAACGTTTACTTTTGTCTTTGCTTCAAATAAGTCACTGTGGCAACTGTAGCTGGACTGAAGTCCTATTTTCAAGAGAACAGGTGCTATTGTAAAGTTAAAACAAAGAGATGCTTATTGTTTTATTGTATTAACTCAATTTGTTGTTTTTTGTTTTTATGGAATTTAAATTTGATATCAAGCTGGCAAGCATGGACTGTGGGTTGAAACTAGTTTTTCTTCTTAGGTTAAAGTTTTTTGTGTATTATCCTTGATCAAATAAATACTTTCAAATTCCAATTAGCTATTAGCAAATAAGATTTTGTGTACTAACTACAAATGAGCATTGGGTTAAAAAAGTTTCAAAAGAAGTGCTTCCTGGACCTCCAAAGGATAATACACAGTAGACAGAATGCAGCGGTGCTCTTTGGGGAAGGGAAGTCAATTTAAGGATGAAAAAAACCCAAGGCATTCAGTGGTTAAAATAAAATGCCTTTTTTAATTTCACAAAAAGAAAAAAAAAAAATCACAAAAAGGGTACATAAGAAAACAATTTATCAGTTGCAAAACAACATTTGTAATTTACAGACTTGTTTGCCCTACCTGCAATGTTTTCTACATAGGGATGACCAAAAGGCGCCTGCAAGACCGCTGAGAATAAATATGCTATCTGTACAGGCAACACAAACTATCCTATGGCCAGACACTTTTTGGACTTTCATAATAGCAATCCAACTAATCTGCAGACCCATGGAATTGATCATATACCAGACTCTTTGCGAAAAGGAAACCGTATTGAAAAACTTATAACAACGTGAAACTTTCTGGATTTATAAATTACAGGCAACAAAATATCCTGGGCTCAGTGAAGATTTGGACTTCTCTGTGTCTTTAGAACTGTTTTTATACTGGAGTTGGTATTTTTTGTATATATGTTTTGTATATATTTTTCCAATGGTTCTAACACTGTCATCTTGTGTATTTCAGGTGGTGGGTTTCCTGTATTTAACTCACACATTTCACTCAGAAGTCTGTTTGTCCCCTGAGGCAAACCATAGACTTTATAAGTTGTCCATTAAGACATGCCGTAAATTAATGAAAGCATTTTATTTTAACCACCGAGTGCCTTGGGTTTTTTGCATCTTTGCGTATTGGGTTAACATGGAAAGATTTGTTTTCAATCATAAAAGGTAGAAATAGTAGAATGGGCTACGCTATTTGAATTATGATTTTTAACCACAGTATTGACTCCGACATATATTCCGCCAAACTGACTCTTGAGAGCTTTAAGCCATGTTATAATGTTACATCATCAAAAACATAGTTGTTGTTTTGTTTCATTTACACATGTTTGAGTAATCCTTTATTAGTCTCCAAAGCTTAAAATGCTCTGATCCACCTTGTGATGTCATGAAGCAGTAGTTTTCAATTTAACAGTTCCTTTTCCCTTTAGTTTAGTAGAGATGGGCAATTCCAGTGCTAACATTATCTGAATGATTCTAGTGAAGGTGTCACTGCATCCAACAGATCAGTGTGTGGATGCAAAACATCTTTCTCCAGCTAAACTCTGACAAGACTGAAGTCATAGTGTTTGGTCCACAGAAACAAAGGGACAGTGTCAGCATTCACCTTCAGTCTCTCTCTCTAAAACCTTC